TCCTCCTCCTCCTCCTTCTTCTTCTTCCCCCCTTACCCTCCTCCTCCTCCTCCTCCTCCTTCTTTTTTGGGTTTTACTGGCTATCCTAGAATTCACTCTGATCTGGCTGGCCTCAAACTCACTAGTGCTGTGATTAAAGGTGTGTACCACCACCACCCAGATAACATTTAATTTTTTAAAAATTATATTTATTATTTTAATTGGCCAGGATCAGGGGAGTCATGGCACGTATGTAGAGGTCAGAGGACAACTTGTGGGAACTGATTCTCTTCTTCTACCATGTTGGGTTCAAACTCAGGTCACCAGGCTCGGTGACAGGTACCTTTATCTACTGAGCTACCTCTGGGGAACCAGTTCTCTTCTTGACTCTTTCTGTGAGTTCCGGATATTGAAGAGGAGCCACTAAGCTTGCAAGGGAAGTGCTTTACCCACTGAGCCATCAGACAGCCTAGGAAGGGCATTTTAAGTTCTATCCATTGAACAATTTTTTTTTAGTCCATTTGCTCAAAAATATACACTGGTTCCATACAACACCCTCGCGGATGCTGTAGCATCTCCTGGCAGAAGAGCTTGGCAGAACTTTGTGTGGGAAGCGCCAGGTAAGCACCTTCCCAAAGGCTGACCCTGGCTGGCCCTAATTGCTCAGGAATAGGTCAGTGGCTAGAAAACCCGAGGAGAATTTTCTAAGAGAAAAAACATTTCCAAGAAGGCTGAGTTGAGAATTCTGTTTCTCACATATTTAAAAAATTGGAGTACACAAGCTTTTTAATAATTAATTACCAAAACCGATACCACTCTGAGGAGAGTCTCATTTTGATGCCAACAGCCCTGGAACAAGGCAGGGAAAGGAGGGTTACTCGGGTAGCCCTTTCCTTCCTGTCTCAGGTAGGACCGGTTTTCTGCATCTCTGCCTTTTGGAATGCTCGAGTCTTATGTCCTATCTACTTATCCCTTTCACTTGTTCCATTTTTTTTTTTTGCTCTTTAGCTTTTCCACATTCAACCAACATATTTACTTGACTTCTATGTTCTCATCACATCGTAGAGAACAAGTGTAAGCACAAACCAATGACACCATCACGTAGCTGCAAATTCCTAGGATGCTTTGTATAATTTTTTTAATCTAATCTATTTTTCAAGGAAGCATTATGGCTTTCAGTATGATAGCTGTGGAAAATAAATGTCACAGGGGTCAAAGCAATTTTCCACGGGGTTGCATAACTGGTAACGTGTAAGGATGTATTTCATCATGAGTCATCCTGACACAAAAGCTGAGCAGGGAGTGAGACGAAGGGAGGACATTTTTGGATGAGATCTTGCTGGGAGTGCTGGGTTTGGAGGGATGGCATGTAAAAGGAAGAGATCTCAGCCAGCACAGTTTCTTCTGTGTTGGACTGAGAATGCTGTAAACGAGCAGGAAGGAAGGGGGTTGAGTGGAGAAGAGGGACGAGGGGTGACCAGCAGGCAAAGCTGCTGTGTAACGACATCTAGTGCCAGTGGATCACAAGTCACAACCAGGTGTTACAAAATTCAGATACCCTGAACACCTTTTTCTGGGAGACATGGAGGAGAAAGAAGTAAAGAAGGACAGTTGCCGGGAGGGCCCACCAAGTTCCAAGTGTGAGTCCTTTGACCATGAGAAATTTGAGGCCAGTCTTCAGTGGAGGGTGGGGGGTTCTTCATGAAATTCTTCATTGTAGTTCTTTTTCTAAAAAAAAAAAAAAGTAAGGACATTTTCTTTTGAAGGGGAGGTCTCAGTTAGAGCTATTAAATAACCAGGAGCTGTATAATGACTGGCCACCCTTAGATAGCAATCATCACTCCTGTCCTGGTGTCCCATCCCCTACTGTCACATGGGTCTGGGTTCTGCTGGAATCTGAGCATTACTTGCTATTCTGACGCCTACAATGTGTAGGGAAGACCAAGCTGGAAGTCAATCATCTTGAATTCTGTCACCCTGGGGTAAGTAAGCACCACACCCAAGAACAGTGGGTCAACACAAATGGATTTGGTGGACTTTTTAAAAAAGAGAGATAAATAACATGAAGTTGAGTAGATAGGAAGGTGGGGGTGAATCTGCGAGAGATTTTGGGGGGTGACTATCAGAATATACTGAATAAAATTTTTAATGAAGTAAAGAAAATATTTTTCAGATAAAAGGAAGTACTTATTTGACTGTATCTTTGAAACCCTGCAACAGTTAGGCATTGCTTTTACTATATAAGAAAATGTGAATGTTATTTTTGAAACTATCAGTCCCACAAATATTGAAGGAGGAGCTGTGGTTTGGCAGGAGTCCTGTGAAAAGATCCAGGGGTTTTATTGAAGTCAGGCTCCATGTGAGCCAAGCTCATGACACAGCAGCTAGAAAACAAAACAAAACAAAACCCTAGCAGATAATTGGAAGCCATGACCTCCCAGCACTCTGAATGTCCTCATCTGGAACACAAGACACATGTGATTGAAGAAAATAATAAACTAGAGAGTGTAGCTGCTGAGGATCTGAGGATCCAAGCAGAGAAGCCCAGCAGCCTAGTTCATGAGTAACAATCTCTCTCTCTCTCTCTCTCTCTCTGTCTCTCTCTCTCTCTGTCTCTGTTTCTCTCTCTCTCTCTCTCTCACACACACACACACTCACACAAGTATTCTTAGTTTGAGTTTCTAAACAAACAAACAAATAACAACAACAAAAAAGGCAGAGTCATGCGATAACTATCATGTAGAATTCAGAAAGGTGAAATGCGGTCACAACATCCTGTCCTTATCTGGTGCAGAGAACAGGAACAGTGCTACTGAGTGATAGGGAAGTGTTAGGCACTTGAACATCAAAGTGGATTTGAAAACACTGATTTATCCAATAATGGGTTGCCTTGCACAGTGGAATGCTGTACTCCATGAGAAATCTTCCAGAAGAAACCACATGGCAACCCATGTCAGAGTGGAGTTGGGCCCAGGCAACCTCAGCCCACACTCCAGTCCAGAACTCTGCTCCTGACTCAGTTCAGCAGTGTTGAAGGGCTACTGGGTAACAAGACTGGAGCAAAGACTGGAAAAGTTAGTTCCAGTCAATCATCAGGAGAATAAGACCATCAGCAATGGGTGCACCCAAGGTCATGGTGGAATGGAGACAGTGAGCACTCATTGACTCCTTCTTCGTGAATAAGAACCAAAGTGACAGTATCTAGCTACATTATAAGTGAGTGCCACAAGAGGACACAGGAAATCCCAGACAGAGCAGCTGAAACTCTGTGAGCTTCAGAGACCCAAGACAACAGCACACAGAGGGAAATTACTCCAGCATCTACCATCTTTGATCCAGAGCTGGGGGCAGAGAAGTCTTCTTTTTACAAGGTCAACAGTGACAAAGAGGGCTGGAGAGACAGCTCAGTTGGTGAAGTGTTTGCCACACAATGATGACAATCTGAATTTAGTTCCCAGGACCCACATAAGTAAAAGCCAGGTATTGTGGTGTTGGGGAGCCAGAGGTAGGAGGACTCCAGGGCTCACTGGCCAGATGGTCTAGGCAATCAGTCAACTCCTGGTTCAGTGAGAGACCCTTCTCCAAAAAATAAAATGAAAAATAATTGAGGACCATATCTGGTATGGACCTCTGCCTTTTATACACACACGCACGCATGCACACAGAGATGCAATAGTGTCTCTGCATGTTCTATAAGCATGGTTTCTGGAATCTTGGCTACCTAAAGAATTGACAGTTGTCAGAGGCTGGCTGGACACATGCATAGATGAAATATGTACAGCAGCTCTACTTTGGCCAAAAGATCGCATATCACTTTCCTAAGAACACCAGGGTACTGTGGTTAGGAAACATTGAGAAATCAGCTATCTGGTGAGAGTAGACTGCCCTGGGCATCGGAGACCTCTAGTTCTGTGATTGGCATACTCTACTTGACTGACTTGGATGATAGTTGCCTTAGGAATCTACCTTGGTCCAACTATGGCCTGAATATGCTGGGTTTCCTGTGCTGTAGGGAACGGGTTATATGACACAAAAGGAAATGGATATCGGAGTGGTACCCATTTGATAATAAGGACATGGTAAGCCTTGGCGCCAGTACCAGGACTTGAAGAGGCATTCCAGCATCCTGCCAGTCCCCCTGGCTCTACTCAGATGCCTGAAACTGATGAGTGGGGAGGCATGATTTTCTACCCACAAAAGTCTGCTGCTGAGACCTGATCAACCATTTTTCCTGCATGTTATGTTGGTGCTGGTCACATACTACACCTAAGAGAAAGACTCTGGCTCCAGTGAGAGCCCCACTCCAGGATATATATTGACACTAAAGAAAAACATGTCACCATTACTGCTGTCACCCCATGTACATGACTCTGTTGGCCACCCTGTTTGAACACTCATGACAATGACAGTTAGGACTGGATGTGTCACAAAGCAGCGCTTCAGTTCCTGACACTTATATCTCTTATGGTATAGAATCAGAGCCACTACCACTGTCTGGTCAAGAAGACAAGTGTGTGAGGCTTCTAACTGACCCTGGCGTTGCCAGGAGTACCAACAATGTCCAAAGAGGCTTTAGTAGCCTGAAGGAGCACTCATTTCTACCATGGAAATGGTCATCCATGAGATCCCATATGCCCATAGGAATCTGCACCAAACTTGCTTGAACTGTTGCAATGTCCCCATTTTTGATAGCATACAAAGTAGGCAGGTCTCTTCAGCTCAGCCATGACAGATTGTGTGCCCAGATTCATTAGCCGCAACCAAAGAAACTACTGGGAAATTAAACTATCATGCCAACACCAGGTAACAAACTGGCACCTAAGACAACTTTCCAAGTGAAAGCCACTTAACAAAAGCCACCTCATAAATGCGGGAAATCCAAATCCACACATGCTAAACTCATAATGTAGGAACATAAAAAGATAGAAAAATGAGGTTAGGGAAATGACACCTTCAAAAGAACAAAGCAACTGTTTAGCCACAGATCCTAAAGTAGTAAAAATAATCCAATTAAAAATGGCATACAGAATTCTCAACAGAAGAATCTCAAATAGGAGAGAGACCCTTAAAGAATTGTTCAGCATCCTTAGCCATCAGGGAAATGGAAATCAAAACAACTCTGATATTCCATCTTATACCTGTTAGAATGGTTAAGATCAAAAATAGAGGTGACAGCTCAAGCTGGAGAGGATGTGGAGCAAGGGGAACACTCCTCTACTGCTGGTGGGAGGACAAATTTGTACGGCCACTTTGGAAATCAATATGGAGGTTTTCCAAAAAAATTGGATATCAATCTACTTCAAGATCCAGCAATACCACTCTTGGGCATACACCCAAAGGATATTCAATCATTCCACAGGACACCTGCTCAACTATTTTGATAGCAGTGTTATTCATAATAGACTGAACCTGGAAACAACCAAAGAACGGATAAAGAAAATGTGGTACATTGAAGCAATGGAGTATTACTCAGCTGTTAAAACAATGACATCAGGAAATGTGGAGGCAAATGGATGGAACTAGAAAAAAAAAATCATCCTGAATGAGGTAACCTAGACCCAGAAAGATAAACATGGTATGTGCTCACTCATAAGTGGATATTAGCTATAAAAGATAACCATGCTGCAATCCACAGCCCTAGAGAGGCCAGGTAACAAGGAGGGCACAGAGGGGGATGGAGACCCATAAAATTCCCTGGGAAGAGGAAATAAAAGGATCTTCTGGGGAGACTGGGGGCTGGCAGGGATGGAAACATGAAGTATTGGGCTGGGAGTGAGGCAGAGAGTAAAGAAAGGGATGTCTTGATGGGAGGCACGTGGGAGTCAGATAGAAACCTAGTACAAGGAAATCTCTTACAAATCTACAAGCATGACCCAAGTTAAGACTCCTAGCAATAGTGGATAGGTAGCCTGAACTGGTCATCTCCTGTAATCAGATTGGTAACTACCCCAATTGTCATCAGGGAGTTTTCATTCAGTGATTGAAGGAAACAGACGTAGAGATCCATAGCCAAGCACTGGGCTGAGCTCGGGGATTCCCGTTTAAGAGATGGAGGAAGGATTGTACAAGCCAGGGGGATTCAAGGTCATCACAAGGGAACCTACAGAAACAACTAGCCTGGGCTCCTAGGAGCTCACAGACTCTGGATTGACAGCTAGAGAGCTCCATGGGACCAGCCTAGGCCTCTACATACATGTGACAGTTGTGTATCTTGATCTGCTTGTGGGACTCCTAGTGGTGGTAGCAGGGCTACCCTAGGGCTTTGACTAACTTACAGCAACCTATTCTTCATTCTGGGTTAAAAAGAGGAGCTTGGTTCCACCTCAATGCGATATGCCATGCTTTGTTGACACCCATGGGAGGCCTGCCCCTTTCTGAGCATAAACAGAGGAAGAATAGATTGCAGGTTGAGGGGATTGGGGAGGATTGGAAGGAGAAGATGAAGGGAAAGCTAAGGTCAGGATATAAAATAAATGAAAAAATTTAATAATAATAATAATAATAATGACGTAAACATGAATGAAATCCTAAAGGGAGAGCTGGAAAGATGGACCAGTCATTATGAGCAACAACTGCTCATAAAGAGGACCTGAGTTCAGTTCCCAGCACCCATTCTGAGTGGCTCACAGCTGCTTCTAACTCCAGCTCCAGGTGATCTGACACCTTCTTTCAGCCTCTGCGGGCAAATGCATTAAGTTTCACTTATCACTGCACACACACAAACTTAC